CCATCACTGATCAAAAGGGTTTAAAACATTTGATATTACAATGTAGTAAAATGTGGATACTGAATAAAATACATAGTATAGACTTTATCAACAGGAGCCACTTGATCTCTTGTCCTGTTCGAAAATAAACACTCAAGGAGGTGAAAAGTTGTAACAAATCACTTAACTAAAGTGTTCTCTTATGACATACTGTAGATAGTGATGTGTTGTGATTGTTAGAGGAATTCAACTACATTTATGCAGGATACGTTCTTGGCTGTTCTGTGGCTCACTGGTGGTTCTGGGGGATGCCAAGATATATACAGTATATATCTCGTTACTATTACAGGATAGATAGACTGGTGACCTCGGAGTGTGAGAAGTAAAAGAAAACAACAAACCCACTGCTGCTGTGTCAGGGACACATTTGTTGTTTACACAGAGGTGTACCTGGTCAAACAGGATCATCCAGTAATATGATAGAAATCATGGAAATGATTAATGATGGAAACAGTTATGGGTTGTTAGTGAAAATCTGGTGTTTGGTGAAGAGTAAGAGCAAAGAGCTAAGTAATGTAAATGAACATTGCATGTGGGCAGTTGAATATTCAAGTGCCTTGTAATTAATGAATACAGAGAGTGAAGAGCTGATGGGAAGATCTAGTAAATGTGATAAGCATGTGCAGTGCTTGGTGACTAATGGAAACAGAATAAAGCTAGTCAGAAGATCAAGTAACTTGTATAAGTAGATCCAAGAGAACAGCAACTGGGAAGGTAGAGGACCTTGCAGTGTTCTCTGTGAGGGGAGCAGAGAGAAAGATCCGAGAGGAGGTCGGAAAGAACAAGGATAGACCACTTAAAATGTGAGAAGAAAAGGTGACACACAGGCAGTAACAGATCGGAGGGTGGTGACCATCCCAGTTACACAGCTACTTTTCACATTTTAGACCCAGTGATATGAAATATTCATCTACAGTAGTTCTTCATATTTAATTTTCGACTGAATTTTAATGAAAATTAAATGTTACATTTCATTAAGAAACTCAGGAAGATATTTTTTTCCATTTAAACCTGTGAAAAAAGTCAATTTGTTCCAATTTTACTGACAGATAAGTTTTAGATTTCCCACGTGAAATGGAGAAACAAGAATGATGCGATTCCTGCCAGCCGTTGGTTGAATGCAAAGAAAATCAATGTTTGGTTTGATTTTGGTTGGAGAATTAAATCTTCCATAGCACAGCAACAACTTTTTAAATCCTCCTCAATTGTCATATTCTCTCTTTAAAAAAAAAAATGTGTCATGGGGGGACCGGGGCTGTGCAGCAGCCTGAATCAAAACTTAAAATGGAAGAATTTAAAGCCGCTTTGATTAAGGAGAGAACTCTGGAATATATTACACCCACCATACTGGAATATATTACACCCACCATAAGAACTCCGATTTGAGACTTCCTGCTACAAAAAATGTGTACTTTGTTTAGATGGAGTACTATGAACAGCTATTAGGATGGGCCTCTGTGGTACCACTTGCAAAGTTCAAGTTTAAACACCAAAAGAGGCAGAGTACACAAACAACAATTACAAATAAGCAAAATCAGAAATGAGAGCTCGGAGCTCGTTTTAGGTACAGTGCTGTAAGTGATGTTAACGGACAATTATAATTTAAATGGATAAACTGCTGCAGCTCTTCAAGAAATGACCTGGTGAAGGTCTTGAATACCTAATCTGCCCTAACCTATAATGTTATTAGAGAATTGCTGCGTTGCTTAAATCATACTGAAAGCCATAGATCCACTGTCATCTTTATTAGTTATACAGGAAAAATAAAACATTCTAGTTCTATGTCTGTAAGTAGTTTCACATACAGTTTTAGCAGCATGTTATCAGGTCCTGAGCTGTTATTACATTGCAAGGTGTCAGGAGGTGTCAGCAGTAATATCCTTATGAAAAAATGTACTGGAAAATGACAAGCTTGTGCACAGCAAAATGTTTAATTCTTGTTCTGTCAGGTCTCTGTCAGAAAGAAGCAATGATGTGAATGAGCCAGCATTATGTTTTATGAATGCTATCTATTGAGCTTATAGTTGGTAGGACATTAATTATGCTCATGTACAATGATGTAAAATTGATTCCGTATGCTAAGACATTTCAGCATTTCAACGGCAAATTAATTTGTCAAAACATCTTTGAGTTCTTTTTAGCAATTTCCCATGGCATTTTTAATCTGTATGATACAGAAAACGCTCCCAAAAAGTGTCAAGCAGATTGTATAAAACACAGCAGTAATGTTTTCTCGCCTACATACTGTACCATCTGTCATGACCTTATCTGAGACAAAACAGTATTCATAGTAACCCTGCAGCTATCTTTTTAATAATGCATTTTTGTTTTTCTTTAAAGATGCCGACTTAAACATTTTAAAAGGTGAAAGCTGCAATATAAAGGTTATGTCTACAATGGCCCACTTCCTGACAGCACTGGTTTACAATCCACAGAGCAAAAGCTTCTGAAAAATGTTCTAACCGTTTTATCTAAAGCATGGTTACAGGGGACCCAAAGTCTATCCCTACAAGCTGTCACGGATATCACTAATCAGACACAAGTCCAGCAAAAACAAATCAAGCAAGACAATGGTAATAATATTGGCTCCTGGATTTAAATGTACTACATTTGCTCTTATAACACTCAGGAAATGTTGTGGAGCTTCCTCAAATAAAGGCTTCTTGGTAAGGTCTGTGTTTTCTACTCTTTTTAACAATTAAAATAATTTTAAACTTTATCATCTCAACATCATGGTGACAATTAAATCATCCTGTGTTGGGAATATTAAAGAATTATCCTTTTACCATTACTTAATCATACAGCTCATTGTAAATGTGTGCCAGGTATGACTGTTTCCAAAAAAAATGAACTAAGCATACATTTTTGCAGAGCAAAGACAAAAAGTTATAGAAGCAAACAAGGAAATCAAGGCATAAGTAACAATCTTTGTTTTCTCACCAAAGAATCTTTAAAAACCTGCCATGCTTTAAAAGTACCATATAACCTACTGTAACAAGTTGTCTTCAACTATAACTATAATCTGGTTTGAAAGCTATTTATGAAAAAGTTACAAAATCTTTCAGAACTATACAGAAAAAACATTGATTTGTTCATGGTTTCTAAAATCTTACAGAATTTTCCAACTCAAAATGGGTTAATTACCCATAATAAGAAACACTTGGGCTCAGATGTCTCTGCACTGTTTACTTTAACCACTGGAGGGTAGAATGAACTTCTGTCCTTTCATTTTCCTTTTAATTACAGCTTGAAGCAAGAAGCAGATGCAGTATCCAAAACTACCTGTCAGTTACAGCAATAAAATGCTTTAAACTCAGCTAATAACACATCCCTGATAATAATATAATAATAATAATAATTGCTTTCTGCAAATTGCTGTCTTCAAAACGATGTTCTGTACTCATCTAAAGATGAATTAAGGAGAAAAGATATTGGATTGACATGGTAACTTAAAACACATTTAATATTTGTTGTAGAAAAAGTGTATCCTTAACTTTTGCTGCCTAGCATTTAAGTGTGGAAATACTTAAAATATTTGGAAACATTTAAAATAATCCATTTTAATGGTATAATGATACCTACACACTATTTTATTAGAATAAGAGCAATCACTCAAGGTCATTTCCACTATGCAGCTTTCAAATTTTATCTAAACATCCAGTTAAATGTATCGCATAGTGTTTATTCATATTTAAAACCTAATTTAAACTGTTAAAAAATAAAAATATATGGTTTGGCAACTGAAGATGTCACCCGTATGATTTCACTAGAAACTGGTTTAGCAGACATTGTTTTACCGTAACATGGTATGTCAGAGTTCTGTCAATATGACAGAGAACATTTTAAACAGTGATGTTCTGTTTCAGCATTTTATTAAAAGTGACACCCGTATGAAACCGATTCCTTTGGGTCATTATCTGTCCTACATACTGTATAATGGATGTAAATGGCATTTTGGTTTAAATTTGACAAGACATTAGATTAAAATGTATCTTGTTCCTTATAGTGTTTATACTATATGATGCACTGACTGGAGTCATTGTTTCACACAGCTTCTAGGCATAGTACACTTTTTTTATTTTATCTGAAGTGATAGGCTGAAAATAATCCAGAACTGATGAAAAAACTCCAGACAAGCAATACGTAGCTCTTTTCAAAAGTCAGAGAATTAATAGTAGTGACATTACTCTTACCCTCTTGGGTATAATTCTGCTTACAAACTTTTTTTTCATAGAAAATGCCATGGTAACATTTTTTCATTAACTTTCTTTCCATCAGTGATTGAGGCAGTTGTTCTTTTTCTCTTGGGTGATCAGCTTGGGAGGCACGAGGGAGTGATTGTAATTAATTCGGAGCTAAAGCTCAAGAAAAACTGCTTTCTGTGAACAAATGTACAGAATGCTTTATAGTTAAGGTGGAATAAATTGTTTTCTTATGAATCCTGAAGTTAGGTTTACAAATGAGCAAAAAAGATCAAGTGATATACTGTAGGTAAATGAGTACATTTTCCGTACTAGCCAGGGATCAGAAGGAAAGGAAAACAGTTGGGATGACAAAGAAAGCAAAAAATGAGACACCAAACAAGTCATCTCATCTTTACCTGAGCAAATAAAAATGCCTCTGTTTTGAGTTGATATTTAATTTAAATAAAACTCCATACTACAGTACATGCCAGACAATATACAATATTGAAGTACTAGAAAGGTATTTAAAAAACAATTTCAGACTTTCATTTAATTTGCTTACCTAAAAGTAGTATAATTCTCTGGTGCCCCCCTAGAGAGAAAAACATAAGCACAAAGCTTTCATTCTTGAGTTTAACAAGCAGTTCCACACTTTCAAAGCTATTAAACTTTCATGCCCTTCTTTTTTGGTAGCTTCTGATTGGAAAGCACCTTTAAAAACTCTCAAGGAATGGCAGTTGCTCTTCCCTGATCTTAAACAAAAACATGGCTAATTCGTTTTGTGAACCAAGTTTTATTGAACTTTCCCAACAAACAAAACAAACCGATGTAACACCTTCCTAGCCCCCACAAACACATCATCAGGGTAACCCCCTCCTCTAAAAAAATTCAATTACGTCTTTGCTCCCAGTGTGTTAATACATACATGTGTACAGTAGTTATGTCCTATTCTGATCTGAATAGGACATATTGTATAAGGACATTAAATATTATATAATTATTTTAGTTTTATTGACATAGAAAGCCAATATAACTGTTGCATATTACACAGTACCAATACTGTGTATTCAAGCCTGACACACAAATCATTAATTATAAAAGCTCATTGGCAAAATCTTACAATTTGAAAATGTTAACCACCATTTTTGTCTGTTCTGATTTACATTTGTTCTTTATATCTACAAGTATCTTCGTGAAAGTAAATTAATGGAAACAACTGCAGTATCGAGTTTTAGACCTCGTATCCTTAACCATTACATTGTTTTTTACCTTACTTTAACTATTTTTACTCAAACAGTAATGTAATAGTTGGATGGATTTCATTTTAAAATAGAGGTAAATTCTATGACTGTAACTTGTAAAATATATAGAAGTGGTTCATGAGCAAATCAAATGCTTGTTAGTTTCTACCATGAACAGTTTTACAGTATGCAGATCTTGATATTCTTTATTTGTGGGAAACGTTTTATTCTATGTTAACTAAATTGCACCTATGTTCTTACTGTACCATACACTCTATACAGGAATACATAAATGCACTGTGCAAATATGCACAAATCTTTAAAGAAATACAGAGCAATTGTATTACATAAATAGTACAGTTGTGGACATCATGTGCAGACAGACATACTGTAACACAGAAACAAAGTAAGCAAAGAGACATTATTTTACACCAAAAAAAGTGTGGGAACAAACAAAACAAGTGCAGAGCATGACAGGAAGTGAAACAAATAGCAGTATCAAAAACAGGAGGCTGATGGGAACTAAAACTTTACAATTTGTTTCGTAGATGGTTGATAACAAGATATTTCCACTAACGATTGGGTGGAGAGGCTAACAGGGGGAAGTAAAAATAGGAAAGTTAAAACAAGTTTGACATCATATAATCAAACATTACCTTTCTATTGTGTATCTTGCACTTTATCTCCTACAGAGATATTATATCTCTTATACAGAGAAATGAAGGCTGACAAATTCATGCTGTCAAAAACCAAAGGCTGTATACTGAGGACTCAAAGACTTCAAATTGTCTTCAGCAGAAGACACTAATTGAAGCCAATGACAGCCAGCGCACATACTACATCAAATATTATGGCACTGTGGTGATAGTTTCACCATCTGATGTTCAACACATTTATACAGTACATTATATAGTGCAATTATGGTAATCCACTAGATTTTTTAGTTTTTATTTATTCTAGAACATAAATATTTCAAATTATGGATTGGTGTCTTCTTCAATTTATCATGTGACTTAATCGAGCCTAGTTTTAACAGTAATAAACACATAACTACAAAATCCATTGAAATTATTCACATATTATAACAATCTATTATAATTAAATGCATCTAACCATAAATTAGTTTGTGGAGAAAATATATCAGTTTATCTAAAAGCATGTAAGAACGGTGGGTGTACTTAAATTAATTTAACAATGTTTTCCACCAAAACAGACATCTTGGTACTCTCGTACCCAAAACAAGTTAAAAACGAAAGCAAATTAAGTGGTGCCTACACAACACTTAAGCTAAGTTATTTCACAGTGTGCTCCTTAGATATGCAGTGGTGGTAACACAACATTTCACAGATATTTAATCTTTACACACTATATAATATAAAATCCGAAACATTGAAAAACAAACCAAATACTTAATTGCTTCAGAACAGATCTTTAGTAACAGAAAGTGGACTTGTAGTACTGTATATGAATGACGCACATTTTCTCAATGCCTTGTCTGACTTTACCCTTGATGTGCTCGATTTGCTGGGGGGCAGTAGTATTGAGAGAATCCTTTTAAGGTCACCTTTCCAGAAGCCATGATGTCCTGAGAACTTCCGTGGTTCAGACGCTGAATTAAGTTCTTTTCGAACAGAAGTGGATGGTAGTATCCCATAGTACAGGCTTTATTGCGATATGTTTGGTAGTAATAACAAAAATCTGTTTTTCTGCGTGACGGCAGGAATTCATACACATTAAGTTGATCACAGAGACTCATCATTAAGACAATACCTGGAACACATGCAAAAGCAGACAGAAATTTGTCATCTAAGTTCATCCTTAAAAAACTTGAAGGAAAATGATTTAATATTTTATAAAATTAACATTGTTGGATGTATGGTATAGTCAATGTAATTAAGAAAAAGCAGTAGGCTTTTACTCCATTTTATTATCTGTACTAGTATTATATTAATCAAATCTACAGTTGCTGTTTTTATAGGAATATTTTAATGGGCACTAGGGGAACTGACAGCCCTGCAGATCTGCAGGAGGCGCAGCTCATTTCCCTCCAGTTCACAGTACTATCAACTAACTTACCAGTAGAGGCCCCTATGACCTGTAATTAGATGCACTGGGTGGTAGTTAATTAATTAGATTGTTGGCAATGAGCTAAAAGTGCACATTCTCACATGGGTGATAAATTATGTTTGGCATATGTAAAAGGCATTGCAGGAGCTGCTGGGGTTGGGTTTAAGTTAGTGGCATGGTGGGGGACTGTTTAAGAATCTTTTAAGTACATGGCCTGTGAAATATTGACAATAAACCCTCTTGTAGCTTACTAATTTGGTTGTGAGCATTAATGTCCTCATAACCCTGGAGCTGCTGGGTTCTCTCTAAGGCTGGACTTTGTCACACTATGATAATGGAGGAGAGCAATTTTGATTCTTTCTCATCCCGACCTTAGAGTTTCAAATGAGAAGTTTTATAACATTGCAACAACTGGAGAGAGAAACTGAGGCCACCAGAAACATTTTTAGCTTGTTAATGTTTATAATCTATGTGCTTTACAAAAGCCTAAAGATTTAGGGCAGCTATTTTTATAATTCTACTGATAAAGTTCTTTGAAGCAAGTGCAACCTGTTGCTCAACTGACAACTGCTGTTGCATAATGCTTCTTTATGTAGATGGCAGTAAATGCACAGTAATGTATATAATTTGTTTAACACAAATTAAAAATTTAAAGTTGGCTATCACTGGGCTAATGTGTAGCTCTTCCTCATCCATGGTTACTGGCCTTTTGCCTTTGAGTCAGATATTAAGAAGTGGGTTTCTCTAACAGGATAAGATTCAGTTTATCTATGTTCTTTTGTGAGATGTTCAAAATCTAAGTTGAGTCAAAATGTACAACTAGGTTAACCACTTCTCATAACATCACTGCCATGGTTATTGCCCATTTTGTAAACATTTGACATGACTTTCAAGATACTAACTTTACAAGATATTAATTCATCACAGTATTAAAATATTTATCTGCAAGAAGTTCAACCCACTTTAAAGATATCTTAAGTACTGAGTCGTCATCATTAAAATTTCAGCACAATGACATACTGTAGTGTTGTTTATTGTCCTGCTCCACATTACAATACCTTGCATTCCAGAAGAAGGTGGATTAGGCTGAATCTCCTCTGCTGTGTTCTCTTGGATGACATTCCAAAGTTCCCACTGCATCTCCGGGCTTAAGATATAAAATGGCTGATCAGGATAGAGACTCCGATAAGCCTTGTATCTCTGAAAGAAGTTGTAGTCTGGTTTCTTGTACCACTGTAAACACAGAAATGATTTTAAAAATAGAGGAGACAGACTAGTCTTTAAAGATGGTACAAACAATGAGACTTTCTAACTTTGTATTTTTCAAATATTTCCTCTGTGTTTGGCTAAATTGCCCAAACCTTGCTTTGAAATCGGAACCTTTTCTGTTCATTTCCGAATTAAAGCAAAATATACATATATATGATAATGACAAAAAATATCTACCGTCTTGAAGGCATTTTACCTTTTTTTAAATTGACAATGTTTATAATGAATTATACTTAAAGCACTTAGATTCACTATACTTATTATAAAAGCAGAATAATCCCAACATAAATGGAGTAAAATCAAAATTGCCAAATTCAGATTACTACTGGGTGAGTGAATAGTAATTGATTGGGCCCTGGACAGTAAAGGGCTAATCTTACTTGTGTCTTGGAAATGCCCGCGGGACAGAAACAACCATCATATTTCATAGTATTTCACAAAAAAAACCAAAATTGTTATAGAAAAGATTATATCTATCAAAAATACACAACCTGAGCTTCACAAAACCGTTTTCAGAACCGAAATACATCAAGGCAATCGATCACAATAACACCTTTTATCTGATTACGTACTTCAGCAAACTTCCAAAGTGCATCGATAAGTAATCAATTACCCAGCCAAAAAAACAAAAGCCAGCAAAAAAATATCTCTCTCGATTTTACCTTGTTCGAGGCATCCTTAAGACCAGAAATACAGTATATACACAAAACGCTAACCTTACTCATCCCCAGACCTGGAGGAAACTAAGAGTTATTGGCTATTGGAACTGATTTTTTTAAACTGACCGCCTCGGAACAGCTGGTCTGATTGGTGGAAAATGCTGTCAATCATTGTGTTTTCAGCCATTCAGAGCCCTTCTTTGGGAGCCTCTGGCTGCATTCTAGCTGTATTCCAGCTGTTAATTATTAACACAGCAGGTGATAATCAATCAGATTCCTATCAGTGGTCATTTTTCCACACCACTCTAGAGTTTTTTTTCCAATGCTTAACAGCAGAAAAAGGCTATTTAGTAGTGCCTTATGGCTTTTGTATAGCAATTGCAATATTTTTTATTGACGTTTCAAATTTTGGGGGGAAAATTTCATTCCAGGTCCAGTCTTCACAAAAAAAAAGTAGAATTTATTCAAATTGATCAATTCATTATCCAAGCTAGCAGACACATAGGACAAAGCCTACAAGCATTTTGAGCCTGCTGACGGGCCTAAAAATTTAAAACTGTGACCTCTGAAGACCAAAATAAAATTTAGTCTGTTTTTTTTCATGTTTGTCTGCTGAGGGGCCCATTAAGAGACGAAAGAAATTTGACTGTTCACACGCAAAGGCAAGGGGGTTAGCCGAACCAGGCTTTTGCTATGTTCTGCTGCAGAGATGTAACAAAATATTTAAGGGGAGAGACTTCCAGGCGGAAACTGGCTATAGGGGTCTAGAACAATAAAGCGTTAATCTAAACAACAAATAACAATGCAACATACCTTGACCTAATTGGCTCCAGTTCACTGTACAGTTGTTTGTTCAGTTTCGCTTAGGCTAAGATATTATTTTTGTGCATTGAAATAATAAAAAAATGAATATTCTGCTGAAAAATTAAATAAACTAAAAACTTTGTCACCCCTTTTATAAAACAATATAATTTAATTTGCATTATTTTGATATTTCCCAGTTAAATTACTATGATTCTATATTTTACCATACATTAAATAATTGATGAACTTGCTGTGCAGGCACATTTTATATTTTTAATATTAATTTGTCCGATACATTAAAGTCCATAATATTTGTATACCTTAATTTACAAAATTGAATGAGCAAATTTAGCTAAGTTGTCACAGAGTAGCTAAACTGGTTTTAGCAAAAGAAAAGATATGAAACTATAGAGCGTCTGCAGAGATGATTAGGTTTTCTCAAAATGAATTCGATACTTACCTCATAGAGGTCTTTGGAATAAGGAGCTGGGTCCCACATAAGCAGTACTCCAGTTTTGTAAAGAGGGTCAGTAAGAAACTTGTGTTTTTCAGACACCACAAGCTTTGAAAAGAGAGAGATTTTTTTGTGACAAACGGTATCACCAATGATTTTCATACTGCTTAATTTGATATTAGAATTAGATGATTTTACGTTGCCCAAATTTCATTTTCATCCCATATGAGTGTCCTTTGACTAAGGAAGATGACAAATTCTTATTATATAGACCATTCAAAGCACACTGACAACAGGAACAAAACATTCTTTGATTTACCAAAAAGTCATCTGGATAATACAGACTAGCACATACTGTAACAGCTAGTCAATTTCTCTGTTGAGTTTGGTATTGTATGCTGACAGTGGTGACTTGTGGTGACTTGTAGGATTACAGACATTTTGTTAGATAATTTCTAAAGACTTTTTATGAGAACCGGTGTAGTAATATAAGGCTCTGTTGCAGTTTGTGTTTTGCAAGCGAAGACTTATGATGTTACAATAAACAAAAGCATCATTTAACATTGCTGGCATAGATCAAGATGTATGTAAAGCAGCTTCAATATTCAAGTCTCTACCTGAGAGTTTAATAAGCGAAGAGTGGTTTTCTGTCCAACATCTATACTATAGCCTTCAGTTGGAGCAGCATTAAACCGCAAAACTGCATCATGGCTATCTAAAAGTAAAAAGAAAAAGGTTAGGCCTACTTTACTACTGCTTTACTACTTTACACCACTATTTTATAAATGTACATAGGAAAAAGAACTTATAAAACCATCACACCTGCACATGCACATAAAATATGTTTTCTGGAAGTTTAAACAAATCCTAATAATTGGCTTCATTACTCTGCTCTCCTCCCCGCTGAGAGCTGGTGTGTGGTGAGAGTACTGGCGCATCATCCAGGTGGATGCTGCACATTGGTGGTGGTGGAGGGGAGTCCCCATGACCTGTAAAGCGCTTTGAGAGGAGTGTCCGGAAAAGCGCTATATAAGTGTAAGCAATTATTATAATTAATTATAATAATATCTGTTCATCCCAGAAGCCAAAAATGACAAGCCAAGGAGAAGTAACATGCTTGGAGCAGAAGCTATTCTGCTCTTTCGCTACCTGGACCAAATGAAAACCAGAGTCTTTTGGAGCTCCACATGGCTCAATGTACACTGGAGAAAAAAGCTTGTGAAAACATCCTTATCCAGTTGCTGGAATTTTCAGAGTAAATCTCATTCACATGAAAAACAGTGAAATCTGCAAAAATTCCATACCCACTAAGTAATGTAAACAACAATTCACATCAGAATAGTTAAAAAGGTCACAATATCACATCTTGAACAGTAAAGATGGTGAGGGCACCTAACTATCCAAAATCCTCAAAGCCATTAACAAAGTCAACCCAGTGGACTTTCAAGAACTGTAAGAATTCACATTCATGGGAGACTGAAGGACTGTAAATTTTTGTGATCAAAAACAACTTTGAGCCAGGGAAGAGGGTAATTGTGTTCTTAAGCAGAGTGTGTATGCAGGCTGTTGAAAGGCACTGAGGTAAAAAACCGCCATGACAGCACATCTGCACGAGTGCAGGAAATCAGGATGGAGAGAATCTGGATGTTCTCAGGGGACTGAGCTACAAGTTCAGCTGAAGAAAGGAAACAAAGTGTTGTTTAAAACAGCTCATAAGTACAGATGTGCTAGACTGTAACCATGAATATATTTAACCAGTGAGTTTGATGGTTAACCATGAGATAACTGCAATGAAAACAAATGATTTACAGATATTTATCTTTATTTATATTATTTATATTTATTTGTGCTCGTTCTCTCAGTGTACGTGTAGGAGACAACAACGATTAAAAAAGTGGAAGAAGTATCATCCAGTATACAATATAAAACGACATACACTATACGATATACAGTATAGAAAACAATATACAATAGTAAATTTACAGTAAATGTATGTTGTGCAAAAAATACAACATTCAGCAGTCAGTGGTATTGGGTAGTAGCCAGCTTGGATTCAGCTGTTATTCATTATACTTACTGTACAGCTTGGGGACAAACAACTACTAAACCTGGTGGTCTGTGTTTTTATGTAGATTCTAAATTATAGTTCACAGTTGATGATAAAGAAGCAATTGCTTTTTCTCAGTTCCTTCTTCATTTGAATGACTGTTGAGGTCCCCAGACCGCCCTAAAAATTGACATAATATATTTGTGACTTACCCATGTATTTTCTGTTAATTGAAAAAAAAAAAAAAACAAATATTGGCATACTGTATTATGTGCAAGGGTGTTAACTTCTTCCATAAGCTTTTTTGTAAAGAAGCCCCACTGGTCTTAGTTTTAAATGCATTTCCATGTCTTTTCTGTTTGTGTTCTCCGGCTCACGTTTCATTCTTCATACTGAAGAAGTCCATTGGGTTTACTGTGTCCGAATTCAGAGTACTCGAATCAAGTCCCCTTCTCTTTCAAGCAAAAATATTTGGTTCTTATAATCTATCAGCGTTACATAGTCTTTTCGTTATATAGCATTTGTCTGGTCACACATCTTCAGCCCAGTTCCAGAGCAGCAATCCCTATTTCAGTAGTTCAGTTAGATCCTAATAAATTCAATAAAGGGACGAGACAAATAGAGAGTATTTGATGTCACTTGCTTATCTGAGGAAATGGCAGCCTAGCTGTAAGGATGTGGTTAACGACATCCTTACTATGGTGACAATTGAGCCAGAGAGCATTGCCACAAGAGAGATATGTGAAGGGAAGTCCTAGGTGTAAGACTTATGTGGATGCAGATGTTTGCGAGATTAGGATCTAAACTTCCTCAGGAACTTCTGTTATAAACTCCATACTGTGTGCAGATCGAGGCTGTACACAATATTCTTAATGAGATCTTAATAATGCATGGTATAATTTTAAAACTTAAATTCAAATGTTTTATCTATATACCTTACATTTTCTTTGTCTTTTTATTTCTTCTTCGCACTGTCTAGGTAAGGAAAATATTGTATGCATCAGTATAAACATCTTAAATAATTTCCATGAGAATTCTTTGGGTTTAGTGTTTCTCATCTTGAATTTATCATGTATATTTTTCTAATATTTTATCTATACAATATTCTCACCTTGCTAACATTAAATGTCATCTACAAAGTGTTTCTGAATTCCTGAATTCCTTTTTTGATTTTGTTTTACCATTTCTGAAGTATTTGCTACTCCTGGTATCAAGTGCAAGTCCAATTACAGTTTATTAACCACACCAAAGTCTAGTTTATTCATACTAATTAGGAAGAGGAGTGGTGCTTACACAAATCCTTATGGTTCTGCAATACTATTACCACCCCACATCTGAACATTCTCACTTTATCAACAATCTCTGTTTTTTGTCTATTAACCAGTTCTGAATGTACCTAAAGTAATGCATCTGGAAATTCTAGTTTCATGCAAAACATGTTCATACTGTGTGCATTCAGGCATTCATGGATAGTTCAGATTCATGCAAAGCAACATGTGTTTGTTCCTTCAGTTACTGTGTATTCATACCAACAAAATGAAAGTATTTAAAAAAGAGAACTCATGACAAGTCCTACATACAGTACAACATAGGAACATCCTTTTCATACTTCTCACCTTTACATTAGTGTCAATGTGCCAGTACAACAGGTTGAGCAAGATCAAATAAACTTACATTTTAATTTTAATTTAAAAAACCCTGAATGCTCATCACATTAGCATATGATCAGAATGTTTTTGATCACTATGTGTAGTGCACATTTTGTTTAGTGATTTTAATGAGTATAATTTACTTGAATGCCTAAATCTCTCCATTGTTAATGCTTTTACATGCACTGGCTGATGTTAGGCTCTAAACACTTAATAGTTACCACCTCCTACATTATGTCTTGCTCATTCTGAACATTCATTTTTACAACAGGGAATATTAAAAGTGACACAGAGTTCATCACATCTGTTTTTTTGTTGTTGTATTTTTTAACCTTGTGGAAAAATAATTGACTGTATCTCTAGGAATTAACTTGAGGACTGCATGGTGGCATAATGGTTAACATTGCTGCCTTGCAGCACCAGGTTCAATTCCAAACCTGGGAGGCTATCTGTGAGGAGTTTGTATGTTCTCCCAGTGTTTGTGTGGGTTTTCTCCCACAGTTGGAAAACATACTGTTAGGTTAACTGGCCCTGGTGGGGATGTGTGTGTGTTTGTGTGTGCTGTGTGATGAACTGGCGTCCCATTCAAAGTAAACCTTGTACCTGTTTTTTGTCAGGATAGGCTCCAGTTTCCTCATGACGATGAAGTAGTTTGAAAATGGATGGCTGGCTGAGGAGGCATTACTTTACACAAAGGGTTGCGGAGTGTGGAACAATTTACCCAGTCATTTTGACAATACCCAGGCTTCTTCCAAGAAGAGTCTGGATGATACTTGTTTACCTCCGCTACAAGGAACCAAACAGCAGGATAGCCTCCTCTCCTTTCTTATTTTCTAAAGCATTGAGCATTTTGCTTTTTACAAACTTCTAGTGTTGGAAAACGACTATTTCTTTCCCAGTTGTAATATTACTAAACCTTGGTAGTATAGAGTTAGTGTACAAGACCCTTTTGAATAAAAATACTGTAAAAAAAAATTAAAAAAAACAATCACAAAAAATATAAAACAAGAATCACAAAAAATAATAAGTCTAGAGTTGTTCATAAATATTTACCACTAAAAGAAGAAACGTAAAATAGAGCAGACGATGTTGGTTGCACTTTTTCACACCACATTAATAGTATGTCAATTAATTGACATCCAAAATATTTAAAAAAATCAGAGAAGGAGTTAATTTGAACCGCATAATACATACATCATGGTACATAAGCAGGTTTTTTTTTCACTTATGAAATACCTTGTTTGTACTTGTCCTGTATTCGGAGAGGACAGTTATTTCAAATTCAAAATTTAACGTAGACGAACCCTCGTGCAAGTTGACAGTTGCAGGCACAGTGACCATGGAGAATGAGCTGCCTTAGATCAATACGCTTGTCCGTACGATGTTGTTTGCATATTAACTGTCTTTCTTCGATTAAGAGGAAATAACACCCTTTATCGGAACACAATATCGCGCCTAACAACAGGATCATTAAACACCTATTTCGGCACCTCATCTTCTTATCCTCGGGAACAGCATAGGGACAAAAATAACTTTGACTGTGACAGCCTCCTATGATGTTAAAAAAAAAAACATAACTTGGGAACTACTTACCGATTTCCTCCCCAAGCTTTGAGTTTCTCAGGGACGCTGATGACATTACTACGGCACAACTCTTAAACGGTCCCAGCCTTTCTCTCGGGTTGTCCTTCGGCAAGTACTTCTCCCACGCCTCCCTTGTGAAAGGTCCATCGCCAGCTTTTATCGTTTTCACAGGAACACGGGTCTTAAGTTGGCACAGGAGCTCCCTGTGATTCAACCTGTATTTTTTTCTTCTTAGGAAAAGGAAAGTGACATTGAACTTGTTTACCCTCTTGAAATTTGCCACCGCCTTTTTTTGGTCTGAAGCAAGTTTTGCGCTGTTTTCACCCCAGACAGGCCAGTGCCACTCCATTGTTCTCAAAGGTTCTCCAGTTGTAGTGAGCTCGGGGGAAGACGTAGTGCTGATCCTTGGCGCGGTATCCTGCTTATTTTCCATAAATCTGGTGGAATTTGCACTCGGGCATTTGAAAAAACGGGTATTCAGTATAGACTGCAAATATATGCATGCAATAAGGCAGAGTAAAAACATACATAACGCAAAGCGGTTAAATTGCGTTCGTGCTCTAGAACTGTGCTTCATCTGCGCCTAGAAAAAAAAGAAAATAAGTTGTAGCTAACTTTAACTTCCCTTTCTGGCGCGCCATAAACCAACTCCTGCAATAGTCACGATGTTAATAATTCGCCGTCTAAACTATTTCTTTCCATGTTTGCCGCATTTATCTTGTTTTTTTTTTTTGCGTCGCTTCCTATGTAGTACGCTACTGAATTTGAGAAAAAAAACCGAGCGATGCTGTGTAAACCTCTAAAACGACACTTCTGCTTTGAGAGTTAACAAATGATGACATGATGACGTCATCTTACTGTACTTCATTAGCCCAGTCTTTTATTTAAAAAAAACAACCCAGTTATGTCGGCTTTTATAGCATTCAGGTGAAGGAAACTTGTTTCTCGCAAACTCCGTTACCCCTTTTTGAAATAATGCGAATAGCATCTCTCCTTAACTACAATTGTTGGATTTTGAAAATTAAATAAAAAAAGTGAAGCAGTATTTTAATTAGGCTCTTGACAGCCAGCAACGTACCCTATTCTCTTCTGTTACGTACTTCGACAATAGTAGATCTACATACTGTACATTGAAAACGAAGTAGAAGGTAATTCGCAATATTCAGAAATTAATTTTCATAGGGGAGTGATATAGCCTACCCTTTCATTTATATATCAATGGGAGGTAACCTAAAGTCTGTTAAATGATGTATAAACACAAGCAGCATGTTTAAATTACCATGCTGTAAGACCTAGCTCGTGTTTATGTAGCTAGTTTTTTTCGCTTGGTACTCCACCTCTAAACCTTTTTAGTCGTTACCACTATTCCTGGTGTCGGTTTCTAAAATAATCGATGTCTGTTCCGATTCATTGGATTCTACACGGATATTAAAAAGATAATTACCTTATTGAGTTCATATATATGGATTCCCCTCTGCTACTTACATTTTTTCTGGCAAAAACAGGAAACCTCATGCGTAAGGCGTCGCGAAATACACAATGGCCGTTCTATATCGTGGAATTGACACCAATTGCGTCTGCATTCCTAACGTAAATCACTTTCTTTGACTTCTAAGTCCCTTAATTATCATTAAGCACAGCTTTCTTACCACTTAGACTACTTTTTGATATCATCCTTAGACAAAGCAGGAACTTGTACTTTCTAATGACATTACAAGTGGAAAGATTACAGATTTTAATTTTGTGATACATTTTAGAAATGTTTCATCTATGCAAACACCACAAAACTATTCTCGATTGTATTTCTGAATGTTATGTTACACTTAGTTCATTGTTTTGAATACATCTAATTAAGAAAGTGTGTTAGCATAAACTATTAGTAATCAATAATATTTAATTTAGCACTGTAATAAATTGTTGCACTTCTCCCCGCATCCTGTAAAAATATAATTCCATTGTTCAAATATACATTAAATCTGACTATCATAAAATAAGTTAAATACAAAATTCAAGAAAAAATAGGGTAAAATATAATTCAAAATATTTTGCTAACAATGTTAACTGTTTATAAAAATAAAATGTATTAACTAAGGAATAGGATGGCACAGTTGTTAGTATGTTTTTTATTTTGTTTCTTTTTCATAAATACAACAGTGGTACCAGATGTCTCGGTGGCTTTCAAAATTAAACTATGAATGCAAAAGATAACTAAGATATCCATCCATTTCTAATGGTGGCGAAGTGGTTAGCATTGCTATCTTACACCACTGGGGCCCTAGGTTCAATTATTGCCATCCTGTGTGTGTGGAGTTTGCATCTTTTCTCTGGGTTCTGTGGTTTTTCTCCATATGTGTGATATGATTCCCTCTTGCACTTCAAAACATACTGGTAGGTTAATTGGCTTACGGGAAAACTGGCCCTGGTGTGTGTGTGTTTGTGTCTGTTTGTCTGTCCTGTGATGGACTGGCGCTATGTCCAGGGTGTATTCTGCCTTGCATCAGTTGCTTACTGGGAAAGGCTCCAAATCCTCTGTACTGGATAAAGAGATTAGAAAATGGATGGAAGTAAAGACACTGTGTGGATGGAACTACAGTATACAGTGTTAGAAACCCACTATGAGATGGCAGCATCTCACTGAGGATAAATGATTTTATAGTTCTGGCTTAAGGAAATAGCCTTTCCATCTATCAGTAATAAGGATGACTTCCCTTCACTTATGTTGATCTACGAGAACTTGTCCTGTTCACTCTTTCCCGCCCTGTCTGTCTGTCCATCACTGATGGAGAAGGACCGCCAGTTTTCTATTAGTATTACACGTTCATTCATCACAATCTATGTGGTACTGTCAGTTGTGCTCTGATAACAAATAATATTCTGTTATACAATTGTGCACTAACACTTTGGCCTTATATGTAATTTTTATTATATTCATTAGGAATTTGGGGCTCTTGGTAGTTATCTTCGGAAAACAGGGGGATTATATTCGTGTTACGGTATTCTTGCGCAATACAGCCATAACCCATTAGGAATTCGTTACCTATTAAAGTGTTATCAATTACTTTTAGTCGAATAATAAAATAAATACAACACTAGGTATTGGAAAACACTGCAGATGTGTACCTAATAAATGTTAAAGGTATTTTATTAATTAAAAAACATTTTAAATCCAGAGGTGTACTGTATACTACTACTGGGCTGGTTAGTGGCTTGAAATATATTCCTGGAACTACATGAATGGCCAAGGTTTATAGCTTACGCAGTATATAATATCACATCTCCCAACTAAATTAAAAGGGAAATTAAACCTGCACTGGAGTGTTAGTTAACATCTCAAATGTAAATTAACTGCCAGATTACCCTAGGGTGAGTCCAACATTTTTTTATCGATTGTCATCATCGACAACAACTACAGTATAATGTGCAGCATATATCAGAAAGCAAATCTTTTGTTCAGTCAAAGCTGAATAGCTCCTCACACTCTGCACAAAACTCATGTCTGAATTGACATGCTGAATCATGTGAGCACAGAATGAAAAAAGTTCAAATCAATGTTACACCCCGTTTATTATGTGAATCCTCCATTATTTGTTGGATATACCCTTTTGCACATATGCAGGTGCTTGTGTAAAGCTCTTCGGTGTAATTCGTATGACTTTAATGGGGGGGGAGACGATAAATTTGCCTTTAAGATGTTAAATATAGCCACCACTTAACAGCAACCCTCCACTGTTGAGTGCGGATGCACTCCATTTCCTCTGGGAGTCTAAAATGAAATGGTAGCTGGGAGGGTTTGACATTTTCAGATTGTGTAAAATTATATTGCAGTTAAAAAAATAACAAATAAGGACTATAAAAAAACAACTCATATTAAGGCAATGAATAATGGAAAAGGTAAAAATATAATGGCATTGATGACCTGCTAGCTACAGAAACAAAGATTTATTCTCGTCTTCATCTTCAGAACAATGTGTGAAATATATTAAAACGGTAAAGAGAATGTTTGCCATGTAGTATTTTAAGGTTTGTTAAATGGTACATTGCCCCTGTAAGATCTCATTTAGAATATTGTGTACAATTTATCATGTTACAAATAAAATGCTGCTGTTCTGGAATCAGTTCAGAGGTGAAGCAACTTGATTGTTTCCCAGGATTAAAGGAATGCCTCCCTTTGACAGGCCAAAAGTTCTGAAACGTTTTTGTCCTAAAAGGAAAAAGGATACGAGGCAGTCTGATTCAAGCATTCAAAAGCCTAAAAGGCATTAGGCAAGTGAACCCAGTGGATTTCTTCTGAGCCAGCAGTGGAACACAAACCTACAGGGAAGTGCATTTAGACCTCAGATCATGAGGCACATTTTTAAACACAGTTTAAAAGGACTGTGGGAATCTTGAACAAAACAAACTACCCACATGTATTGCTCAAGTTAAACCCCTGGCTTCCTCATCCTCAGATCAATCTGCTGCTAGCAACAAGTTCATCAAAGTTGACCAGCTAGCTCTTGTTTGTAATCAGTCTTATGTTCTTTATATTCTTATTTATTTCCCCTCGTTATGCACAGTTGCCGCATCCTTTAGAGGGTCTTGTTAAGATGGAGACTCATCCAGTAAACAGAGTGGAACTGCACCCTGGATGGGACACCTGTCCATTGTTGGGCACACAGATACTCAAATAATCTGTACAGGGACAAGTCCTTGCTGGTTAAAAAAAAATTACAGTTAAGAAGTTCCAAAAAAAAATTATCTTAACTGAAGATTGAAAGATCCGCCAGAAGTTTGCTTTTTCCCTGAAGCAAAGAATGTTTATGTTGCAGATTGGTTCAGGTATAGAAAACTGTGAAATCATGGACTAAGTAAATTTCATTCCAGGGTGTTTAATCAAGATGGGCAACTATACACAAGGGTCTATTACAATTAGGAACATATAGAACAGAAAACAGGAGACACTTGTTTAAAAAAGGGTCATGGGAGTCTGAAACTATCTCCCTAGGCTGTTGTTCACGCCATGAGATGACGTTAGCGTTAGATGGAATTCTTGGTCTCTAAGCTACTAACAGCTAAAGGATCATGATTCACCACGTGGCTTGTTTTTTATATAAGTGTTTTAAAATACTTATGTTAAAATAATCTAGGCTTTTAGACTGCTAAGGGAAAAAAATTGATGTAGGAGTAAAAGTTATAAAATTTCTAAAAATGCTATTTGAAAATGAAGAAAGACTGGATTAATCGTATTTAGTAATCGGTAGTTTAATTCCCAATATTCATTCCTTTGTGTGAGGTCTTTAAGTTGGAAAAAGAGTTCAAGGGTTGCGTTGTGACCAGTCCCTCAATGTCTGCCTTGTCAGTGGTCTCTTTACTCCACTGATGTTTATATATTTAGAACCACACATTAATTTTCACAAGATAAAAATGTTAAATATACAGTGTATATACATCCAGCTAAAAAATAATGTTTTTAAGGTGCACAAATCAGTAAAATATCAAATGATATCAATGACTTTTTGGTTTGTCACACATGCATTTAATCTATTATATGTATTACTGATAAAGTACTATTTTGCAAACTAAAGACCATGTTTCCATAGAAAGGAAGAGGAGGCTGCATGAGAAGTCCAAGCATAAAGGATATTTTACAAGTTGTTAAAGACGTCCAGTGAAAATAATTAGCCAATGTCAATTTAGGCTCAAACCGTTCTGACAGTATGAGAGGCACGATATGAAAAAGATGATAAGCTGTGTTTGAATGCAGACCACACAGCACATCACAATGAATGCATTAGAATTGCAGGTGCTTTCAGAGATAGCTTCATTTTCAGCTTTGAACTTGTCTCGTGTAAGAAAAAGGTTGCAATACATTCTTAGAGTAAATGGATAATTATATGAAATCAATGTCAAACAAAGTTATATATAGACAGGTGTGCAAAGTAAAGCTTAATCTGCTTGCTTCACTGAATCCAGTGTGTTATATTTTATCTAAATAAAGTGTTTAATGAAAAGGGGAGTGGACAGCAGGAGTTAAGTACATCGGACTGGGGGTAACGGGAGCAGGAGAATCTGGATGGTGCCCTTTTAAATTAAAGAATCTGGATGGTGCCCATTTTGGCAGGGATAAATATAGGGTGACAGGCAATTGATGAAAGTTACACATGGTCTGCAAGGACAGTGAGAGCTCCTTGACTCCCAAGCCAACAGCCATTTGTACAAGGAAGAATCGTGGTCTGTGGGTAAGGAATTGCTGCTTTCATTCACTTCATCAATAGTACTAACTGCAGACAGTACTATACTTTCTTTATGTTCTACAAAATACACATTTTGCTCATTATTATTTGGTAGTTGTTAATGAGTGATCAGCATGTAGTAAATCATATACTGTATATCCACCAAATTATGGTTTGTTATTTGTTTGCAATGATGATTCTCAAACAATTTTCTAAAAGGCCTTTTTATGAGCTTCAGTATTGTGCTTTTTTTCCAGTTTTAGAATAACCTTTTAATAGCTTAAAACTGTAGTTTCTGTTTCACTCAGGAATTGTTTGTGACACAGATTTGATCTGAGAACATTTGTTTGTTCTACATTTGACGTTTGGTATTTCCTGTCTCTAAATGTGGGCTGCTTTATTTGTTTTACATTTTTATTGTTTTGTTTTGAAGTTTTTGCAGACCAGTTTCCTGCTCAGACAATAGAGATCAGCTCACTAGTAAGAGGAGCTGTCCTACAACACTTAATTCTCAACTTAATTCTTAATTCTCTGGCTCATTATCAGAAATTCACAAGTGGCTCGTGAAAAGATCTTGAAAAAAAACAGTAACAACATTACGTCAAATATTTACTTTTTAAAACATAAAAGATCAGCAAGTGTGTGTTGTGGATATTGACTACATCCAAATGAAAATTGCGTGGATAGTTAAGAACCCATTACAGGATATTCTGTTCAGTTATTGTATCGGAAACAATAAGAAATATGCGTTTCATTTCAAACAGCTGATGGAACAGTGTGGGCGTATGATTAACGGCTGGTTATTTTTACCCCCCCACCATGCAGTGCTTTAGTGTACGAGCTGACACCAGCAGCCAGTGGTTTAAAAATAGTTTTTGCTAAAGGAGGTCTTAAAGGAGGTACCTCTGGGTATTCATCTCGTCTAAGAAAGGTGATTTTGCTGTGCAAACTATTTTGGTTTGTCGCAGGAGACCCAGCATAATTTAGATTGATGCTTCTAACCTGTTAATATATGTTTCACGTGCCTCTTATACTTATGAATGTGGTGTCTGCTTTTGTGGAAAGGTAAAAGAAGGTATCAGTTTTGTTCTGTACAAAAATACTGTATATACATCATAGTATCTGAAATAATGCATTCTTAATTTAAAATGATCCAACTACATGGTCAAGGTATTAAGCACATAATTATTCTCTCAGTGCATATAAGAGTTTTTTTGTTTCACTGATGATGTTGTAAGCTCTACTTTTAAAATATTTCAAGGAGGGAGCTGCATCGGCATGCGTAGGCTGCAAAGGAACAAGAAAGAGGTTTACTCCATGCTGAAAAGAGAAGAAAAGAAACGCAACGTTTCGGCTGTGGAGCCTTGAGAGAAAGAGAATTATTAAATATTTGTTCACTTTGATTTGATGGAATTGGCTATCCAGGCAGTAATTGAATATGTCCATTCAACAGCACAGTATCTACACAGTTCCATATGATGGTGAACAACTGCAAGCCTAACACAATAGCTTAAAAAAGGCTCTAAATGAACTACAAGTCCTGCTTTAGATACATCTGCTCAGCAGGTACCTTTCAGCATTGATGATCTCTAACCGATGATGCTGGTTACCTACTGTGTACTCAAAGCGTTTCTCCAAGTCACTGAGAAGTGAAATACGTGGGCTTACTGTATGGATGTGGTAGATGCCTAACGGCACTAAACGCAAGTTTAGTAGATAATGTGACTCCTTAACAAACGGTCACTAAATAAGGAACAAGTATTCCAAATATTCTTAAGGGCGGACAAATGAATAAAAGTTATACAAGTGTACAAGTACTGTACAAACATGATAAAAGTGTCCAAGTGACTGATGCGTCCTACTCCACGCGGCAGGTTCCGAGGACTGACTCCTGTCACCATGAGGCTGGTCTGGGTGCTGCTGCTTTGCTTCTCGATTGGGGGGGAGCGGTGCTTCTCAGAGGAAGAAGAAGCAGCCCTGTCCCCAGCTGCAGGCCCAGAGGCGGAGACGGAGGTGGAGGCACACAGCGCTGTGGCTGACGAGAGAAAGCCCTGTGCAGGCTGGATGGGAGGAGTCCCAGGCACTCCCGGGCACAATGGTGCGCCAGGGAGAGACGGGCGAGATGGGAGAGACGGAGAAAAGGGAGAGAGAGGAGAGCCAGGTAACAGACGGAATAGTCGAGAGACAAGATGCTGGAAATATTTGTATAAGTGATGTATAAATTGTCGGTATTGTGACAACGTGAAAGGGAGATTATCAATAAAAATAAAAATAGACCACAGATATGCTGCAGCCCTATATAAACTGCACTATAATAGAACAGGTTCCAGTGCACCCAAGTCAAGATTGAAGAGAGCGATTGTCTGACTTCTTAAGAAGTCTACCTGTGTCGATGAGCTTGAAACCCCTTATAAATTGAGGCAAAGTTTTGGTGCTTTGGAGGAGCCTGTGGGTTTGTGCAGGGGCACTGGAGCAAGGTACCCTGGGAAGAAAATATGGAAGTTTTCATTCATCTATGTAGTACGCGAGTCTGTTGGCCTTTGCATATACAGGTAGCTCTTTCCTTCACCTCAGGTGCACCAGGAGAGAAGGGAGACGGTGGAGAGCCAGGGGCCACAGGCCCGGAGGGTCCTCGTGGATTCCCAGGGACCCCGGGGCTGAAGGGCGACAGAGGGGAGAGCGCTCTTCTCTACCGCTCTGCCTTCAGCGTGGGCTTGACCGACCGCACGCCCATGCCCAACGTTCCCATCAGGTTCAACAAGATCTTCTACAACGACCAGCTGCACTACGACCCCAGCACTGGCAAGTTCCGCTGTGTGATCTCCGGGGTCTACTACTTCACCTACCACCTCACCGTGTACCTGAAGGACGCCAAGGTCAGCCTGTACAAGAGCGACAAGACCATCATGTTCACTTTTGACCAGTTCCAGGAGAACAACGTTGACCAGGCCTCGGGCTCCATTGTCCTGCACCTAGTGGGCGGGGATGAGGTCTGGCTGCAGGTCTACGGTGAGGACGACTACAGTGGAATTTATGCAGACAACGTAAACGATTCCACATTCACTGGGTTCCTTCTGTACCCCGACATTAAAACTGTAAATGGAAGTCGCTAGAAGACAGGAGTGCACCAGAGGCCGGTGGCCTAACAAATTAGTTTCTTTAATGTTCAAGGTCCTTGCTTCCTCAAACCTCAGTTAGAATACCTGTGGGGACTCTCAGAGTCACAAAAACAAAAAATCCCTTTTAAGGCCTGTTGGTGAAATGTATGCATTTAGAGAGACTGGGTGTTTGGAAATGTGATTTTGGTTTGTTGTTTGTGTATTTACAAAAATCACTAGTGTTTTGTTGTTGTTTTTTTAAGGAAACTCCTGAATATCCAGAAATTTTTTTCATTTCAAATATTTCTTTTGTTTACTAATGGGTTTATCAAATTGGCGTAGACCTCTTGAAGAATTTATAGGGGAGGGCTATTAAGGGTTGCAAAACAATGAAAAAATCAACACTTTTAGTGCGAGAGTTTGTTTGATCATTCACCAGTGTTTTTCCGAAAGACAATACCTTCCAAGTGTAAGATTTCCATTCCAGAATAAA